AGCCCCATCGATGTGTATTTATTCATTCACCCGACCCGATGAGGCGGAATACATTGGCCCTACAACGACGAGACGTCTGGAAAAGAGGGAACACGAGCACATACCTGCCTTGCAAGGTAAAGAGGAAAATCGGTCGATTTCAAGTTCAGTTGTCGCCCATGTAATCGATGCGAACCATCAAGTGGACACCAAAGAAGCATTTAAATTTTCTACCGGACGCCAGTTCACTACGCTAAGGGCCTACGCAAACGGGTGCTAGCAACGGCCGAGGCAGTGGTTATTCGGTTAGCGAATTCAGCGCTCTGCTGTCAGAAGACTTTGACACAGACAGAGTGTCGCCCGTGGTCGACTGCAGGTCGTGATCGCACCCCGCCCCAACGTCCCGAGAACACTCACTCCGTATGGTTGACATATACACAGTGTTCACAACCTCACTAGAAGGGTCTTAAATAAAATTATTTATTATAACTCTTTCCTTACCCCCACCCACTCCACCATCCCAGCTCCAGCGTCATTAAACAGCCTGAGTCCGTCATGCACGAGACATGGAAACAACGAGTGTGTCTAACGCTTACCCCAGACACATATATAAATGCTGTCTATAATTGGACTCCTGCCGTCCCACATTGTTGTTGTTGATTAAGAAACATGCTCATTGACCTTGTGAACCAGGGGATGTGGAGTGGAAGAGCAAGGTGCGGGCTCGACCGTGCCATTCGAGTGCGCCTCCGTCTTCGGTCTGCTTGACTCTGTCTACCGGCAGCCAGCGCACTGCTCTGAAGGCCTGCGCAAACGAGTGCTAGCAACGGCTGAGGTAGTTATTATCCGGTTAGCGAATTCTGCACCGAAGACTTTGAGACGGACAGACTGTCGCCCCTGGTCGACTGCAGGTCGTGATCGCACAACGCCCCAACGTCCCGAGAATACTCACTCCGTGTGATTGACATATTGTTATGACCCGCCTGGTACGTGAAATCCTGTGGAGCGTATGCGCACTCGACCCTTGTCCCCAATACCAACGCGGCAGAGAAGGAGAACGCGACCGGCCACGAAACTGTGTATTAGAAAAATGCAAGTCAAAATGAACTGGAAGTAACGCGTATTTATAACGCCTTACGGTGCTTCGCCGGCGTTCGGCCCAATGCCCTTCGGGAAGAACATTCGAGACGAGCCGGTCGATAATTCGAATATGCTGATCGATCAGGCCCGCGAGGAAAAGCCAATGGAGAGGCGCCACGATTAAGATGACAGCGCAGTGGAGAAAACGCACGTGGCCTCCCGTGATTGGCTGGCTCTTGTTCTTGGGAGTGTAGGCGCTCCCAACACATATACACAGCGTTCACAACCTCACTAGAAGGGTCTTAAATAAAATTATTTATTACTCACTATAACCCTTCCCTTCCCTTACCCCAACCACTCCACTACCCCAGCTCCAGCTTCATCAACATCCTGACTCCGTCATGCAGGAGGCGTGTAAACTCCGAGTATGACTAACCCCTCCTCCCGACACACATATAAATCCTGTCAATAATTGGACTCCTGCCGTCCCACATTGTGCATTTACGCTGTGAACCAGGAGATGTGGATTGAAACGCCAAGGTGACGACTCAACCGTGCCATCTGACCGAGCCCCCGCCTCCGGTCTGCTTTACTCTGTCTTGACTACAGGTCCGGGTGGGGGAGGAGAGCCTGCGGTCGATGCTGCGCAAGTCTACTACCACCATACACGAGTTACCGCCCCTGCTGCAACTTGCTATGTAGCACACAGTGGACATCGCCAGCAACGACTTTCGAAATGTCGGTAATGGTTATGCTGATGATGCTGTTATTTTTGTTGTTGTTTTTGATGTTGATTATGGTGATGATGATGATATTTTTAGAGTTTCTAAAAATCCCATTGAAAAATTCAAAGGGCATTTTGGCGAGCATACGTCTGCCTTTGATAAATTATCTTTAGGCCTGTACATATAGATATGTGGCTATTGAAGTAGTAAATAAAAATATACGGACAAGTCGATAATTATGATGTAGCTCGGGTTTGGGAGGGGCTGGGGAGAGTGTAACACCAAATTTGCAGTCAGCGCCAGGGGGAAGGTGGGCCCCGACAAAGGTAATTATATGCGAGTGGCTGGCTTGGTGGTTTTCACTCACAGTCACAAGCATTCCGTGTGGTTGGCATAAAGACAGCGTTCACAACCTGACTTGAACCCCTGCCCACCGACCCCAGTTCCAGCGTCCTCAACATCCTGACTCCGTCATGCAAGAGGCGTAGAAACAACGAGTGTGTCTAACGCTTACCCCAGACACACATATAAATGAATGGAAGAGGATATGCGCATTCCAGGTTCTTGTTTAAAAGAAGACAAAGGCACGATCACTGGGACAGTAGTTTTACTAGCTTGAGCTTTCGAACTCGAACTGGAGTTCATCATCAGAGACTGCTAGTGTGTAGCAACATGTGACAATTTATATCGCAGTTCCATGCAGGGAGGGGGCCTACGTCCGTGGCTAGGTCTGGTTTGTGCCGCCTGTTCCACGATGGTCCCCCGGCGTGGTGACGCCATTTGTACTCCGCGACGACGTGAGCTGCGCCACCTGACTGCGTGGGCGGAGCGCATGATAACACGCAGGCAAATCGATGTGTCTATTGATAGAGTTGGTGTCCGACACCAACAGGGATTCCTTCGTTTAAATGGGTTGAAATTGTTTTGTCGTTTTGACAATTCTGCATGAT